AGGGGCATTTAATAATGCTCAGAGACATTCTTTGTGGTCACACATGGGAAGGAGTTTCCCTGGCACTTAAAAGGTAGAAGCCAGGGCTGCATTTAAACATGACTGCACAGGAGAACACCTCAAAGAAACAATTGGCCGTCCTGAAATGCCAGTCATCTGGGGCTTGATAAATCCTGATCTACACAGTGGACAGGTGTGCTGATATCAAAGCGTGGGAAGTCAAGACTCACTGCCATCTATTTAAACTCGTAGCAACCCTGTCGGTCAGGGCAAACCCATCCCTGTGGGTTTCTGAGACTTTACAGGAGTAGAGAGCCTCATCTTTCTCCCAAGGGGAAACTGGTGGTTTCAAACTGTCACCCACTATGCCACCAGTGCTCAGCAAGAGAGGAAAATAGTAACTATTTTTTTTCTTTTATATTAGATGTCAATTTACACTTGTGTTTCATTGCATATGAGGAAACGCTCCTGGTCTCTCTCTTCCACCACTGATTCTTTCCTGTGGGTACAGATTGTTGATGGTGGATTGGGGAGAATAAGTGGGCATGCAGAAGCTGGCATGCCCTCTCTTCTTCCTGTAAGAACTTATGAATTCTTGGTCCTTGCCATGTGGAGAGAGAGAGGGAATCCTGTCTGTTGCCTTATGTAATGTGGCTAACTATGAAATCTAGTTTTAGAATGGTAGAGTGTCTTCAGAAAAAAAGGACATTTTTAAGGTAGCTTGGGCAGTAAGTCATAAATGTGATTTTTTATTAGTTATTTGCTTAATTTTTATTTCTCAATTTCATATATACATTAATTTTTAGGCCTCAAAGCAACATTTTGGTCCCACCAACTCCCTCATATATTCTTTTGTTGTTGTTGTGAATATTTTATTCTCTAATCATCAAGTTTCTTGGTCCAGAATACCAGGTTTTAAGGGCCATTTGGATGACATACTAAACACCATCAATCTTTCATATTAAATCATCCAATGGTCCCTGCAATATGGGATTCATGATGAGTCTTATCTTTCCAGTTAGGCAGCTTTTTATTTCACTTTATTGATTTTGTGTTTTAAGCACACATTTGCATTTTGCTTGATCTACTTAAATAGCATGTAAACAGAAAAGTGAATGAATCCTAACTGTCCAACATAATGAATTTTTACTAATGTACACACCTCTGTGTCAAAAAGAATAAAGAACTAAACTCACTGACCTGGACTTGATTCTGAAACACAGCAACCCTGTAGGGCAGCCTAGAAATGCCACTTTGGGTTTCTGAGGCTGTAAATCTTTAAAGGGTAGACAACCTCATCTAGCTCATGTGGAGTGACTGGTGGATTGGAACTTCTGACTACCATGTGCTAAACAGCTTGATGCACTCACTGCTCATCATGCCTCCTGAGCTACCAGCCACAAATAAGTCTGCAGTGGACATGAACAAATGAAGTATATATGATATGCTTACCACTTAATAAAATGCCTACTATTCTACTAATGCATGGCCCGCAGTCATCCCACACCGAAGGGAAGCATTACCAGCTTCCTAAAATCCTCCTGGAATCCACTCTCTGAAATATGGTCTCTAAACTAGAATCTCTGTCCTCACTTCTGTCACCACAGAGGAGAGGTGCA